TAAAAGTTCTAAGAATTTAATTACGAGTATTTAAGTGTAGGCCCAAGCCCGGAAGTGAAAAGCTCCCTAATTCCTCTCCCTCCAAAATTTAAAACCTAGTTCTGATTAAATAGAATCAGTTCCAACACAAACTTCTCTATTTTGTGCCTACTGTAATTATTCTCACAAGATTCTGCCTACTTCTAGTCTCTTAATAAACAATACCACTTCTTTCCAATACTCCTCTGACAGAAGAACTAGGAGAAGTTAGTTTTTCACATCTGTAATTGTGAAAGCTAAGTAACAACTTATGAGATGTAGATATTGGAGTCCTCCCGTCTCTAACTTGAATAACATTGATCCCAAAACCAGAAGTTATTGTGGAATCTGTCTAACACCACAGAAGTTAGTGATCTGAAAATATGCATTACTGTCAACCCCTCTTCCCCCTCAAAAAAACCACCTCATCTGCCAAAAAACAGAACATGGAAGCTTACTGAGTAGTACTGAAATAGTTAAGAAATATAAAAGTGTTGATGTAAAATAATCAGTAAAAAAGGAGTTATAAGCTAAGCCTGAAATGTAAAGTAAAATCAGATTTCTATCTTATATGTATATCTTGTTAAACACACATTTGTCATGCCAGCTTCACGTGCTAGAATGAGACCTCAGAAAAACAAAATCCCATCTACTAAAATGTGCCTCATTTTAGTGTTTTAGCGAAAAAAAAATCAGAGCAATAGCTGATTTTCTTAAACAAGACTGAAGAAGGTTGCGAGAGGCATTTGAAGTGAACTGGACAAACTGACTTCCTGCTTAGACACCCAAAAATGACTCATCTCCCAAGTGAGATTATATAACAACTGCTAGACATTATACCGGCAACTCAGAATAACAGTGAAGAAAACTGTATAGAGCTTTTGCGAGCCTTTTCAAAGCTTGTGTGTTCTTGCAGTACGTTTCAATGAAACTTCAATCCCTTGGAGATCCAAGGGCTCAACCAGACAAGGAAATACTAATCTGCACAAAACCATTCAGCGATTATATAAGTTATCTTTTTACAAAAGTAGAGGCAGAAAACTGAAAAAGAGGGGTAACTGACACTAATGAATCAGAAATTCATGCAAGAGAGAAAATAGTTGAAGGTTACTAAATGCAAAACCCACCATCCTCAGATTCAAAAGGTCCTGTGTAAGGTGGAGGATTGAGCATTCTGATACAGTATTACTCTTATTACTATATTCTCATGCCCTTTGTAGACATCTTCGATACCAACCTCAGTCTGAAAGAAGGAGAATACTATGCAAACCTTTCAGCTGCAGCACATCACCTTTCCATATGGAACACACAAGCAGCCAGAATAAGGTGAAAAATATTTAAGTAATAAACGTTATTTGTAAACGCTCCTTACGTTAGCAAAAACATACACAAGGAGCCAAGCATTTTCTGTCAGGCAACTAATTTCTGACAAGCGATAAACGCTAAGAAAACTTTCTGAAAAATCTGAGAGAAAACAAAGAGGAGGAAGACGCCAGAGCTAAACCTCCAGTCAAGTAAAATACAGATTAGATGACAGACTATGATGTCAACTATCTCGAATGCTATAATATACAAAGTTTGGCTTACTTCATCTAATATATTCTTTCTTTCTGCTGCTCCTCCTTTAGCTCTTCCTTCAGTTACAGAAAAATGGAAAGAGATGATCCCTCAAAAACAACGACCACAGGACTGATGTAACTATGCATACTGTTGATACTGTTGTAATAGCAAGCTAATACATCCTTTTAATAAGATACTTCCATCACAATTTGTAAAAAATCAAATTTAGGGTTTTCTTAACCATGTCTTTAAGACAGCTATTAACACACAATCATGTTTACCTTAATGATGCCTAAGATTAGATAAAGTAAGAAAATACACAAAAACAACTTCTTCTGAAGAAAAACAGTAAGAGGCAAACATAATTAAAATAAGTTGGGAGTGAAATACATGGTAACTGTGGAAAGAAGAGCATATCTTGTTTCTTTACAATTATAAACAGAAAGAAAAATTTACTATAGCAAACACTGTACTATAGTACTGTAACGTGACCTGCTGCCAACCTGTTTAAGAGGCTGAAAGAGTCACAAAAGAATCTAAAAGCACAGTTCTTGCCAATGTTAAATTTGTTCAGAGGTCCCTAACGTAACATAACACTGTAATTCATTTGCATGATCAGAGATACCAAGCTGGACGATCCAAATGCATACTCAAGGTCTACCTGTACATACCACTTTTGAAAGTATGGGACAATTTTTTCATCTTGAAATTAAAGGTGGACCCTTCTTCATTTAGCAAGGTGTAGCCAAAGTGTTGCAAAGCTTTTGCAAGGGCACAAATTCTGATCTCAAAGGACTCTCCAAAGAGAGGAGAGCATTACAAAAAACAATAGGAAAAAAGAGAACATTTTCATTTGATCACTACAAAAGTCTGGAGTATCGTGGAACTAGATTCCATGAACTGCGTTAGCTTCTTCGCTTGAAAGAATGAGAAAAGGCACTCATCTGAAGTCCCTGCTGACAACAGCTCTCTAGGAAAATAATCAAATGTCAGCATTCAGGACAGAGACTAGAAAGTTACATTGATTAAAACTCGGGAAGGCACCGACAGTACTTAAATGTTAACACATGCTATTTAACCAATGGACTCACCTGTAGGAGATGATTATATGGCCTCAAAAGGCTTTATGCCAGGTAAGACCACCGTTCCCAGTTTATAAGGTATCTCTGTAACTGAGAACGGCTAACTTCAGGTATTAGGAGCAAAGCAAAAGTCCAAGCCCTCTTAAAACAAATCATACTGGGAACTTAACTACGTTGATTCATAAACCAGGAAAACACCTGACCAATTTTCCCTCCCCTAAGCGGGCTATGATAAGAGCAGAAAACCATTCCGAGTTCATCACTTAAGCAAAGAGAAAGAATGTCATTTTTTCATTACGGGAATCACAGAATCACAGGTTCTTTCCAGCTGGAAGGGACCTTAGGAGGCCACTGAGTGCAAACACACCTGCTCCTGCTGGGTCAACACTGAGTTCAGGCCAGGTCGCTCAGGACTTTTTCCTCACTTAGCTGCCGGAAGTCTCAAAGGATGGAGATTCTACAACTTCTCCGAGAAATCTGTTCCAGTGCTTTAATCAAAGTTCCCCTTATCTCCAGGCAGAACTCTGCCTCTCTGCTTCAACCTGCAACCAGTGTTCCCTGTTCTCCTGCCATGAATGTCAGTAACCCTTCCCTTAGATATCAGAAGACTGCTATTAGGTGCCACTGAAGCCTTCTCCTCTTCATGGTAAACAAGCCCAGCTCCCTCAGCCTCTCCTTGCAAGTCATGTGCGCCAACTCCCTGACCAGATCTGGCAGCCCTCCACTAGACTTACTCAAGTTTATCAACAGCTTTCCTGTACTAGGAGACACCAAAACTGGATGCAGTATCCTACATGTCGTCTAGCAAGCAACAAGTAAAGGAAAATAATCACATCCCCATCTAGCGACATCCCCTGTTGATGCAGTCCAGTAGGCTGCCACACACTGTTCACCAGCCACTACAAAAGCTGTAAGTCCATGTCTTAAAGTAGTCCGACTAATCCAGTGCACTTCTAATGCATATGCTACCATTTTATCTAGGTAACAAAAACAGGATTAAAGACCATATCTACAAGGAAATTCTTACACAAAATGAATGAAGACAAAACAGTTCAGGGTTGCTACCCGTAACATATTCTGTAAGTTTCACTATTAAGGTAATGATTCAGTTCACGTACTGAAAAATGTTAGTGAATACAATAATTTCACAGAATAACCATATTCTGTGGCAGAACATGATGTTTTGTTAACTAGCAGCACCCCAAACATTCCCTTGCAGCAACATCTTAGTTCTGTACATCCTTACAGGTAATATATCGTTAAGGTTTGTCCGTACACGCAATAAAGGTTTCCATGCAAATATTTATGCAGCTAAATAAAAACTACAGCAGGTAACAGTGTAACTTACATTTGAACACGTCAATCATCTAAAAAAGTAAAGACTAAAATAGTTCTTAAAGGCTTTCCATATACCATTTAAAAGTCACAAGTAAGAATTTGTTTCTACTCAAGTTAAATATGTAATCGTGATCTAAAATTGACAGAGTGAAAAAACACAATTCAATTTCTTCATAAACATTTTCAGAATATCTGTATGGGTTTTTACATAACACCTTCATCACCATGGTGGTAATCTAAGAGAGTTTTCTCCTAATCATATAGGACCTGAAATATACTTTATATGCAACAGTAATGTATCTTTTCCAGCTAGTTAATAAATACCAGTGAAGATACTCAATCAGTAGTTAGAGATTACACAGCCATCTCCAACTCCTCTTGGGAGGGGGGAGGAGAATCAATTCAAAAGCTGCCTGCCATTTTGCCTCACATTTTAACAGCTTTCAAGGGAATAACAGTTAACTTGGGGGGGGGGGAGGGGAATGGGAAGATCATACTAGTAGTAAGTTTAACCACTATTAACTTCTCCTGCAAAAGTGTCTTTAGAAGCTTTGAAATACAAATGAAACTACAATTAACTGTGCCCTACACAGGTTTTGCACATAATTTCATGCATAACATTATACTAATGTTTTTAAAGTTTACTTTTAAGAATGTTCACCATTTAGATGCCCAGATATCCACAGCTAAGTAATTTTCAGGCTCCAAAACTCACAGTTAAGTTTCAGCTATAGGAAACAAATCCACAGAAACCTGCGTATACATATATGCACACATTTCCCCTCCTCCATAAAATACAACGTTACATCTCAGTCTAAACAGGTTCATCTTTAATACTGCAGAACTAGCTTAAAGAATTCCCTTGCTTCTAGTCTTCCTCTTTAGCCACACACCATGGCTAACAGTAACTGTATTCAGAAAAAACAACAACAAAACCCACACCATTTACAGTTGTTTGAAACCATTACATAACATTATAAAGTAAAATGTATAACCTCTTACCTGAGCATGAAAATTTGACATAGTCGTTGTCTCTATATCTTTCTTTCCCAAAATCTCCATTTTCACTGGTGAATTGGGAAAATTAAATGAAAAGTAGTCTAAAAAGTCAGGTAAATAAGTAGCTGCCCCATGAACAATACCCATTACATAGTAAGCTGCACAGTTTTCATTTTCACTAAAAACCAGACCCACAAACTCTTCTGCAAATCTCTCCATCTCCACAGGAGATAAGTGGGAGAGTTCATTACTGTAGGCATGGATAACTGATGCACCTCCGTTAGGCTGGTGCTCAACATGAATCAGCTGTTTGAACTCCAATGTGTCCAACCTTTTGAGTTTATTTTGAACCCGTGGCTCCTTTAACGAGACAAACGGAAACTCACTGTTCTCTGGTATCTTGGACTCACAGTCCTTCTTGGGATCCATATTTTTCCCATTGAAATCCTTAAGATGATCATCTATGATGCCTTTGGCTTCCTGATCCTCAACATCAGAAACCAATCCTGAGCAGATGGTCTGAATGGATTTGCTGTACATTTTTGGACGCTTCCTTTTCTCATTTTCTTTATGTTTCTTTTTCTTTTTCTTCTTAACTTTCTTAATCTGTAGTTCTTCTGCATTGGTTTTTGGTTTCTCCTTCCCACCTGTTGAGAGGAAAAAAGGTATCTTAAGCACCTTTATATTAAAATAGGTATACACACACACGCAGAGATCAAGATTCAAAGCTAACACTACCCTCCTCAAGACACACAGGCCAATACTGAGCGTCACATAGCATGAGGGTATCTTACCAGAAAGAAGTGGAGACACCTGCCACAGCCATGCTATATAACTGACACAAAATAAAACTTCAAGGAGGAGAACAAAGAAAAACGAAAAACACACACACACTCCACACACACAGAGAAAATAAGTTTTCCAAGAACGCTTTTCCTGATCAGTCACTATCCTAACCATCCTATTTAACCGGTCATCAGAAATTACAACACCAGAGAGTTCAGACACGTTAGATGACTGCTGCCAAGGAGCACTGCCAAACAAGGCACTTACAAATGGTCAATGAGTATCATCCATCAGCAAACTATTCACAAATGCTGCTGCCAAAGCGTACCTTGCCAATTGGATTTACACGGTTAATCTTCTAGAACCAAATAAACTTTGCAGAAATACATGTGGAAATATCTAAAAACTGACCACAGACTTTCTTTAAAATAAAAATAATAAACCCTTGTAAAAAACAGGAGAAGAAGCTAGCATAAAAACTACGTAATATGCAAGCTGAACTGAAACAAACTGTAAGGTCAAGTGACTCCTAAGATTAAAAGCTCCCTATTTCTTTTAAAGGGTTTTCCATACAGCACTTTCCACAAGTCATAAATGGTACAGCCAGAAAGCTTCTATCACTAGACTTTCCTGAAGTCTAGCTGTTGATATCAACTCATTTCTTGATCTGAGAATTCAAATTACTGGACATGTTAGAGCACAAAATTACATTCACAGCAAAGGATTCAAGATTAGTAGGTTCACAGGCAAAAAGCTTAGATAAGTCTTGCAATGAAATGCACAATTTTAAAGTGCTCGGATTCACAGGAGTTAAGTAACATACTATTTCACTAGCCGACGTAGATGCCAGCATCTACTACTATGCCGCAGCAGACTGACTTCAACTTGCTATTTTTAGCCCATGTAATTCACAATATAGTCCTCCCCACCCCCCAAAAAAATCCCCTCTCAAACACTAGTAGCAGAATGTGCGATTCTGCGCTCCAATTAAGAGGTTTGCCTATGGAACATGTATAGATACCAGCAAGAACAAGCAATTAAGGTACTCGCCTCTGTGAGCCTCTTGGGGTTTGTCATAGCAGCTTCACATCTCTGTGACTTCCAATGGGGAGACAGACGAGCTAGTTTCCTTTTTAAAACTTCTTTTTTCTCATCTTGTAGGGGAAAGAAGCACCCTGAGCTCATTTGCTCCTTATTTAGCCTAAACAAGGAAATGGGCTCTGGGATTTCTTAATCTGATCCACACAAGAGCTACAAAGACTCCCTTGCCTCTATATCAGATTTAACATAGCATACTCCATGAGCACAATTTCGCTTTTAGCTAACCAAGTGCAACTGCCAAAAGGCACAGTATACTCATGGAAGCCCGTCCTGTCATTAGATTACGTTTAATGATAATAATAACGTGCACCTTTGCAACAGTACTGAGCACTGCATGCTCCAGACGAGGCAGTACTTCTTCATTACAGTCTTCCTTCTGCCACATTTTTAAATCTAGTGGGCACGGAAAGACTAGGAAGAACAGCAATACATATCCAAGCAGTTACCTCATCCTTACAGGAGTCACAAGAGTCACAAACATAATTTCCTGAGGATGCCAAGGTATCTCATTTTTCCTCCCAAGTGAAAACCTGCAGCCAAAACATCATCACCTGACAAAATAACCAGCTGCTGCTTATGTTCCCTGGCATGCTAATGAATGTCATTATGGCACCAATTGCAGTCAGAGGGAAATAAAAACAAAGAAATAATTGTGACAGTAGGCAGTTCCATAGTATATGCTTTAAAATCCCAGCCCAAACCTCAGATATGGACTACAGAATGGAGAACAGCTCTTTTCTCCTCCTGACTGCAAGGATACACAACTAGAGAGCATCTAACAGTCTGCAAGTATTTCAAATTCCTAAAAGTGTTTTTACTTACTATTTTTAAATGACTCCACCCTAAATACGAAAAATCTTGGCCATACTGAGTGGTAACAAATTTGTCAAAAGTTTTCAGATACTGTATTAGCCTGAATATAGAAAATCTGGAATCAGACCACCGAATGCTGTTCAAGCTATTCCACACATTCTCAAATGGAGCACAGATCTTTCCAGGGACCAGTCACTCACACATCTGCGACATGATGCATGACATGGAAAGGATGGAAATTTATATTCCTTGGGGTACAATCAGCAGTAACAGAATTGGCATCTAAATACAATGGCCTCTGAAGTTAAAGTAAGAAGCCATTTGCTATATACTTTCTCACACTTAATGTCTATAAGCAAAAACAAACAAATAAAAAAAACACTAAGTGTATTTCACAGAGGCAGCAATGCAGAAAAAAAAAAGTTTACAAAACCAAACACCAGTAAATAGCACCCAAATGAGCACACTCTGCCATGGTCTCAAAAGTAGTGGTGCTTCTAAAGGATTGAAGTGCAACATGCATGATTAAAATCGGATAAAGTGAACCTAATCAGTATCTTGGTAAATTATCAAATTAGGTTAAGTTTATGTAAACATACTCAAAAAGTTTTACCCTCAAATCAGGTCAACTAAAGTTTGTTTTCACCACAGGTATAAACCTACATACTACTCACACTACTTTACAGAAGGATTAAACTAAGAACTTTTTCAAGTTAAGAACATTTATCATTATTTGTTCTCTCAGCATCTCCATGAAGCCTTCAGAGGTGGGGAAGAGGGGAAACAGGCATAGGTTATAAATAAAAATAACTCATTTTCAGTCCACCTTCCAGTCTGGAGAGAGATTTTCTGTTCAGCTTTATATGTAACTATTTTAATAATATATGTATGACATCCATTATTAGTAAAATTGCAAGATACTAACAACAATACTCCTTAGGTCCTAAGGTAAATATGCATCTTACAAGAAAAGAAGAGCAACACTGAAAACTCTTGATGACAAACTGGAGTGACTATGCCATTTATGAATATATCAATTATCAAAATTTAACTGTAGATCTTTCCCCAGGTCATATGAAGAGCTGCAAAAACGCTGCATGCAATTTGGAGTCAAAAAATTTTTTTCTGCTAGCAGCCTCACATCTCTCAGCACAACTCTTCCACAGATCTTTCTGGCCTTCTAAACGTTCACAAAGGGTAGAGCCAAAGCTATTTAACTCTGAAACGCCTAGGAACCAAGAGAGTAACAATCACAGAGGGAGCGAGGGGTTGTATACAAATATCTAGAATGGGAAGTAGTACAGATCCCTGCACTGGTGATCCTGCCCCTCTCCTCAGCCCTGGGGAGGCCTCACCTGGAGTCCTGTGTCCAGTGCTGGGCTCCCCACTCCAAGAGAGACATGGCACTCCTGGAGAGAGTCCAGCGGAAGGCTACTAAGATGATGAGGGGAACTGGAGCATCTCTCCTATGAGGAAAGGCTGCAAGAGCTGGGCCTGTTCAGCCTGGAGAAGAGAAGACTGAGAGGCGATCTCATCAATGTGTACAAGTATCTGAAGGGGGAGGGTAAAGAGGAGGGGCCCAGCCTCTTCTCCGTGGTGCCCAGCGACAGGACAAGAGGCAACAGGCAGAAACCCGTTGAACCACAGGAAGTTCCATCTGAACACGAGGACAAATTCCTTTCCTGTGAGGGTGACAGAGCCCTGGAACAGGTTGCCCAGAGAGGTAGTGGAGTCTCCTTCCCTGGAGATATTCAAAACCCGCCTGGATGTGATCCTCAGAAATATGCTCTAGAGGACCCTGCTGGAGCAGGGAGGTTGGACTAGATGATCTCCAGAGGTCCCTTCCAACCTCAACCATTCTGTGATTCTGTTAACTGCTACTGCAACTGTCCTAGAGAAACATGGAATCAAAAGGGGGAGTTTCTTTGCTCTTCGGAAGCAAAGCACCGTGACACCCTTAAAGGATTTGAGCTAACAATGCCACTGGGCAGGAAGAAGCCTTAAAACACAGAAGTTGAAGGGAAAAAAAGGGAACTCCAAAACAGAATTTTTCAAAACACATTGCTGAGTTGGTTAAAGACATTTAAAAAATTGCCAACAAGAGTAGAATGTTTTTAGAGAACTAATTTTAAGCACAAACTGAAAGACAAAATTATTTCAAGCACTGCTGAGCTGTCTCGAGCCTTTCTCAAATTTACATAGGCTTAAGCTACTATACACACAAGACTGAAATGTTTTCAAGAACTCAGTGTTCATACTGACAGTAAATCCTGTAGTTAAGATTTTCTGTGGAGAGAACTGGCCAACCAGGTACTTTGGACACCATATTTCACAGAGGAAAAAAATTGTATTACAAAGTTACACTGAATATTGCAAGACCAGAGAATGTCAAATTCACAATTATTTATTCAGCCTTCAGGTGTAGATATATGATACAGCTAAGCAATCTATGAGCTCATTGCTACAAACAGGTACAGTCCAGCTCCCTCCTCACTCTCCTTTTCTCTGCCACTGCTCCTGGTACGCAGTGCTACCCCATGCCCTGTACTGACTGACATTCGGTAAATTGCACAGTAAATTGATTCAATTTAATGGCTCAGCAGAAAACTATTCACTTTTTGCTGCTAGATTAGTGAAGAGAATTGGTTCACTGCATTGTCAGACAGTAACTAGAGCACAGAAAACAGTGATAGCATGCAATGAGAAGGGGGATAGCAGAACCATCCCTTTTCACTATATCTGCTTACCTAAACTGTTCACCACATCCTTAATTTGTCCATCCTGAGCACTGAGTGAGGCAGGACGAGGGGGTAGGCAGGAAAGCCTCCCCAAAAACACCGCACATACACACCACTTCCATAGCACATATAAGATAGGATCAAGTTCCTAGCAAACCTGAAATTTAAGGTTTCCCAACCAAAAGCTTGAGCTTTTTAAATTGATAGTT